CTTTCAAAAACTCCCACAGCTAAACGGCTGGAGATAGAGCCATGGTGAAGAGGACCTTTTTTGTTCGTCTCGACAAGTTCTATAAGAGAGAAATACCAGACTTGATGAAATCCAAAAAAAACATTTTTTGGGACATAAAAGATCCTGTAACTTCTAAACTACAACAAATACTGGATTGGTGCATAGGACCTTTCTTGTAGGGCTCGGCGAGATCTATCAGACACCACCTTTGGATTTTTTGAAATACGACATTTTTCAATTTTCAAAATTTTCACAAAACTCCCAAGAGCAAACTAAAATAGCTACGACACTTTGGTTTGTGGGAGGTGATAGAGGAGGTCGTACTCTATCGATAAAAAATGCTAACTCAATTTCAAATCTCCACTGACCCCTTAACATGTGGACTTTTTGAAATTTTCAAGAAAAAGTTTTTTTTTAAATTTGGGATGGATGGAAATTTTTCTTTATTGCTCCCGATGAGAGGAACAAGAAAAGTTTTTTGCATCAACTTCCTATCTCGCACCGATTAACATGTGGACTTTTTTAAAATTTCTAAAAGAATTTTTTTTTAATTTGGGATGGGGTGCAATTTTTCCTTATAGAACTCGACGAGAGGAACAAGAAAAGTCTTCTGCACCAACCTCCTATCTCGCACCGTTTAGCCTGTGGACTTTTTGAAATTTTCAAGAAAAAATTTTTTTTTGAATTTGGGATGGATGGATATTTTTCTTTATAGCTCCCGATGAGAGGAACAAGAAAGATCCTTTGCACCAACATCTTATCTCGCACCGTTTAGCCAGTGTACTTTTTCAAAATTTTTAAAAAAACTTTATATTTTGAATTTTGGATGGGTGGCAATTTTTCCTTATAGAACTCGACGAGAGGAACACGAAAGGTCTTCGGCACCAACCTCCTATCTCGCACCGTTTAGCCTGTGGACTTTTTTAAAATTTTCAAGAAGAATCTTTTTTCTTAATTTGGGATGGATGGAAATTTTTCTTTATTGCTCCCGATGAGAGGAACAAGAAAAGTCCTTTGCATCAACTTCCTATCTCGCACCGATTAACATGTGGACTTTATGAAAATTTCAAAAAAAATGTTTATTTTTCTATTTTGGATGGATGCAATTTTTCATATAGAACTCGACGAGAGGAACAAGAAAGGTCCTCTGCACCAACCTCCTATCTCGCACCGATTAGCCTGTGGACTTTTTGAAATTTTCAAAAAGGATTCTTTTTTGAATTTGGGATGGATGGAAATTTTTCTTTATAGCTCCCGATGAAAGGAACAAGAAAGGTCCTTTGCATCAACTTCCTATCTCGAACCGTTCAGCTTGTGGACTTTTTTAAAGTTTTCAAAAAGAATTTTTATTATGAATATAAGATGGGTATAAATTTTTCCTTATAGAACTTGACGAGCGGAACAAAAAAGATCCTCTGCACCAACCACCTATCTTACACCGTTTAGCCTGTGGACTTTTTTAAAATTTCAAAAAGAATCTTTTTTTTAATTTGGGATGGGTGGCAATTTTTCCTTATAGAACTCGACTAGAGGAACACGAAAGGTCTTCTGCACCAACCTCTTATCTCCCACCGTTTAGCCTGTGGACTTTTTGAAAATTTTTAAAAGAATTTTTTATTTTAAATTTGGGATGAGTGGCAATTTATCCTTATAGATCTCGACGAGAGGAACACGTAAGGTCCTCTGCACCAACCTCTAATCTCGCACCGTTTAGCCTGTGGACTTTTTGAAAATTTTTAAAAAACTTTTTATTTTAAATTTTGGATGGGTGACAATTTTTTCATATAGAACTCGACGAGAGGAACACGAAAGGTCCTCTGCACCAACCTCCTATCTCGCACCGTTTAGCCTGTAGACTTATTAAATATTTCAAAAACAATTTTGTTTTTGAATTTCGGATGAGTGGCAATTTTTCCTTATAGATCTCGACGAGAGGAACAAGAAAGGTCCTTTGCACCAACCTCCTATCTCGCACCGTTTAGCCTGTGGACTTTTTTAAAATTTTCAAAAAGAATCTTTTTTTTGAATTTAGGATGGGTGGCAATTTTTCCTTACAGAACTCGGCGAGAGGAACAAGAAAGGTCCTTTGCACCAACCTCCTATCTTGCACCGTTTAGCCTGTGGACTTTTTGTAAATTTTTAAAAAAATTTTTATTTTGAATTTTGGATGGGTGGCAATTTTTCCTCATAGAACTCGACGGGAGGAACAAGAAAGGTCCTTTGCACCAACCTCCTATCTCGCACCGGTTAGCCTGTGGACCTTTTTGAAAATTTTCAAAAAAATTTTTTCGATGTCCAAAAGGAGTTTCAAATTGGAAAAATGGACAAAAATTGGACAATACCAGTGGATAGAGAATGTCGTGAAACGTGTTTTGGACCCATGAATTTTTGAACGAAATTTGTAAATTAAAAAAATTTTTTTAAGTCCAAAGGGTGTATCAAGTTTGAAAAATCGACCAAAATTGGACTATACCAATGCATAGAGAATGTCGAGAAACGTGTTTTGGACCCATGAATTTTGGACACAGTTGCAAACACTTTTCACGTGTGTCCTGGGTCAAGAAGGCTGGGGGGTCCAGGGGGCGAAGCCTCCGGTCAGGGGTCCAGGGGACGAAGCCCCACGGTCAGGAGGGATTCGGGGGGGGGCGAAGTCCCCCCTGAGAATAAGAAAAAAAAAAGAATTCGTTAAAAACGACCATGACAACAATCACGGCCGCAGACAGACATGTGACCGTTTTTTAATGAAGGTAAACGTGAATGAACAAGTCTAAAAGCAAAGGTAAATTGTAAATAAAATAATATATTTCAGTGGATAATAATACGTCTCTCTTTTCAGGTTCCTGGTTTCCTTGATCAATTGTGGATCACCAACGCGATGACGCAATCCTCGCAATTAAATCTGGTAAGTATCAAATATTGTGGTTGTTTGTGTATTATTATCTCATTGCTTTGCCTCAGGTAGTCAACCGAAACTGGATCGGTCAGTAGTGACTGAAACGTAGGTATGTAAAGGAA